AGAATAAATTGAGAGAATATTACCAGGTGTATTAAATTGTTCAAAAAGAATTTGTGTCATTTTTTCACGATTAGCTTTTGGATTCAATGGTGCTTCAGTAAGTAAAACAGGATGTTCTTCTGGTGCAACACGAAGTTCATTATAAAATGTATGATGCCAAATTTTTTCCATGTCATCCCAATTAGTAACAATACCATGTTCAATAGGATAGCGAATCGTTAAAATACCTTTTTTCGCTAATGCTTCATCTCCAATATAAGAATCTTTATTACCCATTCCAGGCATAATGGCAGTATAATGTGGTCGACCAACTACAGCTGGAAAGACAGCACGTGGTGCATCTTCACCACAAAAGCCAGCTTTGACCATACCAGAACCATTGTCAATAACTATAGCATTCAATTCATCATCAACATGATAAGACATTTCGTTTGAATTTATTGATATTGTTGAAATTATTTCAAGTCGAATACTCATATCCTTGTGTAGATTGAATCCTCTTTATATAGTATAGTTAAAAACTTCATTCAAACTATTTAAGGTATATGGATTAATACTGTGACCATATAAGGTAAATTAAGTATTTTATTTATCTTTTCATATTATTCGTAGGTTGAGTCATTGTTATGAAATTACACAATTTCATTTCGAAGCCAAGTAAAAGGTGAGGCAGATATACCAAAAAAGGAAAAAGTTTATTGAGTAACGAAATGTAACGTATGACAGAGTTCTTTTGCTTTTTAGAGAAATGTATTGCAATAATTTCTAAGTAAAGTCATGCGATAGAAAATTGAACATATCCTAAATTAGTCTTTTAGTTTTTTTAAAAGAAAGTTAATAATGCGAAAATCTCATAAAACACAACACAGGAATATGTTATAAGGACCTGATATTCAATCAGTGATAGTTTATCACTAATAAGCACATTTCCAAAAGTTTCAAAGCTACTAAGAAACATAATGATATAAATATTAATACAGCTATTAAGCGAAGCAAATCATTTCATTGAAATAGAGGGTGGGTGTGGGTGTGGGTGAGTGGGTGTGGCTGTGGCTGTGGGTGTGGATGTCGAATGAAGGCGTGAGACTAGAAATTCACAATACTCACCCACATGCACACCCACACCCACACCCACCCCC